GCGTCGCGTCGTGTCGCGTCGCGAGGTAGGTCTCGGAAGTCGAAAAACGGGATCCGCGTCACGCGACCTGAATCTCGCGAATAGGTCCGATCGAACGAAAGGTTAGAAAGAAATCTTGTTGAGGAATAGCGAAGCGTATCTATGTATGTAGAAAATACGTGAGACTCACGGTAAGACTACACGTCGAGACGGTGGCGGGATACTCCTTTGTATCCAGGGCCAAGCCAAGCGAAAAATCCTCGTGGTTTCAAGATTCCGCGCGTTATTCTCTCCAGGCTACATCGGGCGATCACGCACTCACACCGTTCTGACTGCGGAGAGACAGTCGCAATCGACGGACCTTCGTACAACTTCCTCCCGCAGGCTCGCGCGAGCCTTGGCGCTCGGCTCCGACAGCTCTCCGACAAGTCGGTACAAATTCGTAGAAATCACATTGATAGCCGTTCGAACGTCAACTCGCTTCGAGAATCATAGACCAGCTGTGTTTTTGCCCGACCATCGAGGAACTCGAGCATGCGCTCTCCGAAATGCCTGCTTGGTGCCGCTACTGTCGTCTGGTATCGCCCGATCTGCCCGATGCCGTCTCTGCCCGACTGGTATGTATGTATCTCTGTTGCGGCATCTGGTGTCACCGCAGTTAACCAGCACGATCGTGATCAGCCGCCTTTAATTTACCTGCAGGTTATTTCACACGCGAAAGAGGAGTCTGTTGCGAAGCGCTGCTAATTCCAACGCACTGTGTTCGAGCCGATGCAAACTCACAATCGCGGTATAAAGAGACAGCTGAGAGAGAGAGAGAGAGAGAGAGAAACGGTCACCACCGAGTTATCATCGATATTCCGATAACGTCGAGGCGGTTCTCGGGTCTCCTCTTCATCGAGCCCGGCTAATTGCGGCGGACATCGACGACTCGATCTGCCTCGAATGCACGAAAAAATAACGCATCTCACCGGCCGCCCCGAACTGTCGTCGCGTTAAGCAGGAGGCAACGAAGAAGATGAGTAGGTATAACGAAGAAGGTGGTCGGATCGCGGGACCAGACAATTTAATTGTTCGAACTTAAATGGAGAGCAGCTGCCTTCCACCGCCTAACAAGGCGGTAATAACCCGCTTCTAAGGTCTTCTTCTCCTCCTCGCGAGCCCTCTCGTCTCCTCCTTCTTCCTCTAGACCGTCCTCTCGCTTCCTCTTCCCCTCGGTCGTTCCTCGCGTTCCGTCCACTGCTCTCCGTGGCTGCGCTCGAGCCACTAAGCACTACCCATGACGCCCATGACCCTGAGATGGCGTGCTGGATTTATAAGTGAGGGGGCTATCCGTGAAACAGCAGGTGCTTCCGTTGCGTCGGACGCGGTCCGAAAAATAAAAGCGGTCCCGGCCACGCTCCTCTCTTCCTAATTCCGTCTTAATCGGCGAGAGATCCCTTACTCCGAGCCTCCCGCGTAGATAGGCGGAGTTATTCTTAATTATTCTTCTGGTCGCAAAGCGCGCAAGGTCGCTCGCGCGCACTGTGGCCGTTTCTCCGGCGCGCGCCCCGCTGGAATCTCCTTTGCTTATCGACTTTTAAAAATCGTCTCGGGAATGGCCTGCGCGAAACACGCTACCGCGCGCGATATCGCCTCACGAGTAATTTCGTCGGATCAGGTTTCAGGCTCGCGGCAATTAGGCACGTGCGAATGATAATGAAGTGATACGTAACGCGCGACGACGTCGGATAGTATCTGACGGAGGTTAACAAGGTGACTTGAGATAGATATTATTCACGATGGAT